ATAGAGTAAAATCCGAAAAGAAGGACATTTATTTAAAAGAAGAACATTTATTTGAAAAAGAATATTTATTTGAAAAAGAACATTTATTTGAAAAGAAAGACATTTATCTGAAAAGAACGACATTTTGTGTGTTATAGATTAATTTATATAATATAGAATATATAGTAAGAAGGATTTATGTGGACGATAAGAAAGATTGGAAATTCGCAAACCTTAAAACTCCAAGGTTTTCGTAAAGTTTGTGATATGTGAAATTATGGATCTTGGTGACAAAAAGATGTGACAAAAAGAGGTGATAAGTGAAACTATGAATCACAGTGACGAAAAGATGTGACATGTGAAATTATGGAGATCGGTGATAAAAGATAAATTTGATGGCGCAGTAAAAAACCTCCGCAGCCTGAGGAGATCGTGGACTTAGAAAAATTTTTGAAATTTCGAGGCGCAGCAAAAATTAATAGTAAAATATGACGAAGTAAATATATAGAACCGAAAGATGGAATCTAAGATTGAAAGAAGTAATCTATTTAAAGATGAAAGAATGCTTAGAAGATTGAAAATAGAAACGATAAGATGGATGAACGATATGTTTAGATTTGGAGGAACGGTATGCAAAGATTGTGAAGAAGAAGATATCAATGAAGTTGATGATCGGGTAAAAAGATTACAGAAAATTTTTAAAGATATTGGAACAATGATAACTGAAGAAGAATTGTTAAGATTAACTAGTATGGGATATACAGATGGAGAAATTTTAGATAAAGAATTTATTGAAATTTTTCAAGAAAATAAAAATGAGTCGGAAAAAGAATTGAAGAAAAATTAGATAAGTTGTTGAAGGAACAAGCGGGAATAATAGATAGTGAAGAAAGTGGTGAAAAGAGTGATAACGAAGAATCAGAAGAAGATAATACAGATGATTCAGAAAAAACTGGAGAAATATTAAGTCCAGATGAAATATGGGATGAAAATATTGAAAATTTTAATGAAGAAGAAAATTTATCGATTAGTAAAGATGAAGAAATGTCGAATGAGGAATCTGATGAATCTAATGATGTTGAAGAAACAGAAACAACAAAGATATTTGAAGAAATAATTAGAATGGATTTGAAAAGAATGGGATATGATGTAGAAATAACGGAAATTGAAAGAATAAGAAAATTTGGAGTAACTGCGAAGATAATAACAACATATGAATTTATGAAGAAATATTTAACAATATGGAATCTTGAAGATAAAGAATTAGATGAACAAATATTACAATGGAGAGTTGAAAACACAAAAGAATGCGAAAGATGTGAAATTGAAAGATTAAAGAAAGAATTTAAAATCGGAAAAGAAACTTGCATAGAATGTGAAAAAGATATTGAGAAAGAAAATCCAACAGATGATGAAGATGAAATGGAAGAGAATATAAAAGGACCCGAAATTGGCTCGAGTAAAAACTGAAAAGTAAAGAGAAAAATAAAAATTAAAGGAAGTACCTATAATACCAATAATACCAGCACCACCAATAAAACTGAAGATAACAATGGCAGTAACAAGAGATGAATTCAGAGCATTAATGAATACTATGTATAATTATGATATTGGGGTGGATTGGAACAATTTAGTATTACCACCAGTAATATCGACAGGATTACTAGGAGAAGTTCAAGCGAATATTAATGCAATAGGAAATTTACAAGAAAAAATTAAAGAAATGGAACGGATGATAGAGGAATACCAAGTGGCACGACAGCACCAAATTATGTACCTGAACGAACTGAACAGAATTAGGGACCAAGAAAATGGAGAGAAGCAGGAGGGCCAACAAAACCCGGAGTATATGGACCGAGATTAACCGATGAAATATCACCTGATGACCTTGTGGGAGATGTAAAAATTGTAGGGCAAATATAACTTTGAGATACAAAGATGAATTTCACGAATCAAAGATGGATACAGAATGGAAATTCAGAAAAAAAGTAGTGGAACAAATAAATAGAAGAATGTTAGAATATGATGAAGATACAGATATAATAATCTTAGACAAATCACCATATTGCGAATATTATTACCAAAAGACGAAAAGTTTTGACAGAGGATTAATTACTTCACATGGAAATCATGAGATGGAAAAAGAAATATTCAGATTGAAAGAAACAATAGATAAATCAATAGTGATATTTTTAGAAAAAGATGGCGATGTATGTTGGAAAAATTACATTGGAAGAGAAACAGAGAAAACGGAAAAATCATCATACCCAACATTAAGGAAGGAGGAATATTTGGACATGGTTAAAATGTTTGAAGAAAATCAGAGCGTGTACAAAGATACCAAAAGATACAGTCGAGTAAAAGTTAAAAATGACAATAGTAGTTGGAGAAAAGTATTTAAAGAGGTGGAAAAATGGAGAATGGTTAAAGAAATTTTATGATCGAGGGGGATTTACACCAAAAATGGTAATTAAAGGAAAAGAGGTATTCGATAAGACCCGAGTTCGATTC